TACACTACTTCATTTCATTCCTTTGATTGTACAGGTTAAATAAAAGCATGTTTTTAAAAAATATTTTTTTTAACATTATTTTATTTTATAATTTTTAGTCCATTTATAAAAGCGTTGTATATTAAAAAGTGTTATTTTATTTTATGCACAAAATTGTGCAATAGATATTAAAATAATTCCACTTGCAATGAACGAGAACAGAAGACTTGGCAAGCAAAATGTTGTTTGCTTACGTTTTGTATAAACATACATATGTACATATAGCAGCAGTTAATTTTATTTAAAGAAATGATATGATGCCTACAACGAGGTTCATATCTAGACTAGGAATAGCTTTGCTACACTACCGCCGCACAGTGTTTCGACTATGAGGAGGCAGGTAGAAAAAAGTCATGGTGACAGTTGATAAAAAATCGGTAGGGCTCAGAGATGGAAAAGTAAAGGTCATAAATAGCAAATTTTACATTATTTACTCACGCCCTTTCTTCACGAATGATACATTTCCAAAAAAAATATGGGAATGGGTGCGATACCGACTAATCAGTTTAGTTGCCTTTGGCGATTAACCCATTAAAGAAAGTGTTTCTTTTTCAACTGTAATCAATTATTTAAATGTCGTGGAATATTCAGGTGAAGGTATTTATCATTTATTTGGTACTTTCCTATTTGCTTACCAAAAAATCTACTTTGAAATGTAGATGCTAAAGATTATTAGTAAAAAAAAAGTGTGAGTACCGGTCCGTCAGGTCTTGAAATTAGACGAATGTTTTAGAGAATTTTATGTAGTTTTCGAAGATATAATTTGATCTTTGCGCGCGACTTTGCAAAATATGTAATTTTTGATTTTCTCAATTTTTGATTTTCAGCTTCTTTTTGCATAATTTCGCGAAAATAATTTTTCGAACAGTGAAAAAATCTCACCAAATATTGGGGAAAAAGCGAGTATTTACACCCTAGTCATTTTATAGTATAACCTTTGTTTTCTGAGAGTGAAAAGCAAGAAGCAAAAATTAACCAAAATTCCATCACATTTAATGACTGGGCCCACATATTTTTTGAGCTTTGGTCGTTAAAGTGATCCAATCTTCCCCGTACTTTATATTTAGGTGTTTCTAATAAAAGAGAGAGTACAAACTAAATTTCATCGAAATTGGATGAAATTTAATGTTTCCGCCCACAAGAGTAGAAGGCGTGGCAATTATTCCATCTTTACAAAATTTCATAATTCTCTATTTCTAAATAAAACTAGAGCACATGTCAAGTCAGTGAAATCGGTGCAGGTGTTGTATTATTTCCACCTGTCTGCATATAGTCGAAACACTGTGCGCCGCGGCGCGCCGGCAGCTTTAACAATTTTATAGTGGTTTTACGTTCTTTGGCAACTTAAGCTTTGTTAGCCATAAATCTTACTATTTTTTGACCGCCTTTGAATCAAGACCCCTGGACCATATGGAGAATTCATCTATATTTTAAATTGCAGTGTCATCGTGATTGGAACTATGCTGAAAATTTCAAGTCTCTAACTTGTCGGGAAGTCAGTTTAAAATCGATTGGAAATTTCCGCGATTTACGCGGGATGACCAAGTTAAATAAAAGCTTATAAAAAAGACTAGACTCAAATCATATTTGTTGTCTTTAAAGAGTTGCTAAAAATTTAATTATTTATTAATTTCTTTTGTCCATTACTTTTCTTTAAGGACAGAGTAACATTGTTTTAATTTCAGTATCAAATAAGTTAATAGTAAACATGTATTTTAAAACAAGCTTTATAAGTATGAACCAAATCGGATCATAAATACTAGTTTCCCAAATATCTACCTCCTACGCCACCTAGCGGACATTTTATTTTACTGCATTGTCATCGGGTTATGAGCTAAGTGTGAATTTTCAGGTCTCTAGCTCATCTGGAAGTTGGTGAAATATTAGGGCTGTTCAGGATCTTGTGCAAATAGTCTTGGATTTGCATTTGCAAATTTTTTGCTTGTTACTATGGCAATCGTTTGCATTTTATTACTGTAATTTTTACAAATGCACCGAATATGCAAATGCAAAAGCATAAACGCAAGATCCTGAACAGCCCCATTGATTGCGAAATTGCAGGACATACATCATATATGTAAATACAGAATTTTGGTCCAAAATAATCCAGAATTTTAAAATACAGAGTTTTTTCCCGAAATAATTTTAACTGCAAAGAATTCTTTCACATCTTTTCCAAATTTTTAGCTGAATAATTTTTGAAAAGCAGAATCTACTACCGCTCTCAAAAAATAATTGTACGCTTTAGCTTACACTATAACATATATATGTACGTACAAACATATGTATATAGGTACTCGTATTCATGCGCGTTGAAGATGTTTGTGCTCTTGCTTTGTATCGCTATTTATGCATAAGTCACTTTCTTTCTTTTTTTCCTTTCTCTATGCTATATATTCTCTAACATTTTCAGTTTTAAAAATTTCACTCTCCCTTTTTGCAATGCCGCCGCCTAAGAAGCTTAATTTCAAAAAAAATATATTAAAATTAAAAAATAATAAAATAAACAGTCTAAACTAATCAATATGTTAGTATTGTATAGTTGTGTTAAGCACTATACATTAATGCAAAATGAATAACTCTACTAACGTCCTGCTTTTCAGCTACCTTTTCACAAAAGGGGTAAAAATTATTTCCCGCTTTCATGCAAACATTTCACTCAAAACAAATATTATCACGCTAAATCGTTTATTTCTAAGTACCTAATTCACACAAGTAACCACTTACATTCTTCGAAATGCGGGATCATCTCCTTTATTGCCAAATACGGATACAGAATCGGGTGAAAAATCCAATATCTTGGTTGGAATCCATCCTTCTTTGCAATTCTCATTTGATCCGAATAATCTCACGTACCATCTGTAAATATATGTATTTTGTTCTGCAAACTATTCAAATCTTTGTTTGTATTAGAATTTGGTGAAATGGAAAAAGCGCCTATGTCTGATTTTTGTGAAAGGAAGTGAAAGCATTCTATAAAATCAAAATGAATATTTCGCCTTAAAATCTAGTAATTCGACGATGTTTTTGCAATACCGCCCATCGTCCAGTTGCAAAACTGCCTAAATCGCTGTTTTGGCAAAAAAGAGATTTGGTAACCCTGAACTCCAGGCATCGAGATTTATGCATACAAATCATAAAATCATTATTAAAACAGTAGATTTGTAAAATAATAGCTAGAGAAAATACCGCCTCTCAAAGCTATGCCTCAAAGAAAACCCATTTGGTCCCTCTCCTGTAAAATTTTAGTGCCGTAAGATACGTAGGCAGTTTTGGAATGGGCCAATGGGCGGTTTTGCAAAACCATCGACGACATAATTATGCAGCGTTTTACCACGTTTCCAAAATCGACATAAGCAGTTTTTGCTTTTCACATCAGAAGTAAAAATTATATTCATACCTCGAATTGAGCTCAGGATTTAAATCACGTAATTTTCCTCTAAAAATTATGAGTTGTTTGTTAGTTAATATTTTAATAAAACGATTTTCGTTTCTTACTTTGGAAAGGGATTGCCTTCACTTATTTTCAGAACTTCCACTAAATCTCCTCTTGATAATGTTATTGAATCAGGAGAATCTGCTAAAAATTCTTGGTTTATGACTAATATGTTATCAACCTGAAAGAAAAATAACCAAATAAATCAAAATGTTATCTTGTCACATGATACAATAATAAAAGCAAGGCGAAATCATATAAGGTGGTATCAATTATACAAAAACAAACACATGTATTTGGTTTTTGCTTTTAGTGGGCCATTGCCAAATTTCAGTTATTCTTCTCTGAAGAAAGAAGAGGGAACGAAAATACAAATACTCTCAAGTAGGGAATCCAATCCCGCAAATGCGGGGTCCCGCGCTTTATTTTTGCGGGATCAGAAATGAGGGATTAGACATGCGGGATCCGCGGGATATGCGGTACTACAGAAAAAATTAAACGGACGAATGCGAGTTGCGAATGTGCTCGCAGAAATGTTCGTCGTGCATGGCTGTATTAAATATACATCACTTTATAACCCAGTTAAAGGCCTAAAGTAAAGGCCTTCCTGAGATTCAAGAGGCCTTCCACTCTACATTCCTTTATCCTTTCTTTTTTGTATGGACTGTCATCAATTGAAAGGATTCTTTTTTCGCTACCCATAGAAGGCCTTACAGAAGGGCTTTTATTGGACGTACTTCAGAAGGCCTTTTGGAGGAGTTCATTGAGTTTCGCAATGTGTTTTCAGGTTAGAAGCAAATCCTGATGTGATAGAGCAAACCGGACTTCAGATTCGTGTTCAGCGATCCCAAAAACATTTAAAACCTGGTCTGGTTTTATTAACCTTTCATCATTTTTTTTTTTTTGTGGTCCTACGTAATTGATTAGAATTTGAAAACGTTCGCCTTGATAACTAGCTGAAAGTTTGTATACTTACCGATTTATGAAAACATTATACAACAATGTAGAACAGCCCGTTTCTATCGATAAATAATTATTTATGCCAGCAGACAAATTCATTTTTGTCTTAAACTTCCTTTCAGATGCTAAATTTAGAATACTTACAACACTGTTTTTTTTTTAAAGCACACATTCAGCTCTGGTGTAAATTTCAAGACTATTTTATATAGAATATATTACTGTAACACCATTTTCAAATATCAAACAGTATATAAGTTATGCGAGAAAACAGGAAAACTTATTAAAATTTTAATATTCCAGAATCACTGATGTTTTAGCTAGTTTTGGGATTGCAGCGAGCGGGTATTGTTTCGGATTAAACACTACCCACTCGGATAATAGGTAAGCACCTTACGAGATAATCCATGTTTTTTTTCAGTTTTTAGTACCAAAATTTTCACCATGACCAACGTCAATTACATTGAGGGAAATAATTCATAGTAAAAATTAATACTTTATATTTGATTATCGTTGAAAAAGGTTCGTATTTAAAAATAATATTTTCAACTTCATTACGCACGTACCCACCCAGCATTTTATGAAATTAGTTATCATATTCGAGTCTTTTTTGAGTCCTCTGTGCGATTAAAATAATCATAAATGCGCTCATTTTCTGATCACAAAAGACCCTTTGTTCGATAGAGAATGGTACCCTGCCCGCGACTCTTCTTGGCGAGTCTTTTACTACCAACGTCTCTGATCACTTTTAAGACTTTTTCGAGTCGTATTTACAATCACTTCTGAGTCTCGTGCGAATAACTTTTCAGAACTTTTGAGTCTTCCTCGAGTCATTAATAAGTACTATTTCTAATCGTTTTCGAGTCTTTTGCTAGTAATTTTTCGGTTGCATTTCTAATTACTTGAGAGTAATTTTTTAGTCGTATTTGTAAACTTTTGTGGGCTTTTTTCCGAGTCATTTTTCAGTTGTAATTCAAATCCCTCGCGAGTCTTTCCCCAGTCATTTTTCAGTCGTATTTCTAAAAATTTTCAAGTCTTCCCAAGTCCTTTTCAGTCCATTTTCAAATCGTGTGCGCTGCAAAAAATTAAATATTAAATTAATTTATAATTAGCAAATCAGCATACATATTGAGCTCAAAAAGGCGTTAATGAAATAACAAAATTGTTTTTTAAGAAATCCATATTAGAGTTGAAAATATTGTGAAATTGCAAAAGTATTGGCACAGAGAACTTTTCACAGTGTATGCAACACAAGCCTAGACTGTTGTGTGATTGCACGTCGAGCAATTTCTATTTTCTAATTTGACAAATGTGCTTCCATTTCATATCAGTGTTAGGAAATGAAGTTGTTCCTTCAATACGAAACCTATTCAAAAACTTTACTGTTTGATTGTTTTACACTTTTACAAATTCAATAACACAAATTTGTATGCTCATATTTTCAGGAACACTTCTTAACAAAAAGCACGGTGGGGGCCCCCCCGTTCCCCTGCTACCAACCGCAGGTTCCGAGTTGAACACTTTCAGATCTGGAGCGTCGGTGTCCATTCGAACGACATGATCCAGCCAGCGGAGCCGCTGTATTTTAATTCGCTGCATTATGTCCATGTCGTTGTAAAGCACATACAGCCCATCGTTCCATTGACTGCGGTACTACCCGTTACCAACGCGTAAAGGCCCGTAAATCTTCCGCAAAATCTTTCTCTCGAATACTCCAAGAGCCGCCTCTTCGCATCTTGTCATTGTCCATGCTTCTGCGCCATGTACCAGCACGGGCATGATGAGTGACTTATAGAGTGTGGCTTTCGTACGTCGAGAGAGGACTTTACTCCTGAATTGCCTACTCAGTCAAGCGACTGGACAATTCTCCTCCCTTCCACTGATTTCAAATTAATTAGTTTACACCTAGCACTAGACGATGGAAGAGGTTCCGAGAAGTTAAGCGGTTGAAGTGCAAAGCGAATAAATTTTCGTTGAACACGTTCAATTCTACAAGCATGAGAACTGTAAATTGGGTTCCAAATTACTGAAGCAAACTCTAATTTCGAACGAACAAGTGCATTAAAAAGAGATTTTCTGCTATACGGATCTTTAAAATCTTTACCGTATCTACGTAAAAATTCTAAATTGCTATACGCCTTTGGAAGTAAATAGCACACAGGGTTCACGGAAGAAAAAGCCGAGTCAAAAGCAATCTCTAAATCCATGAAATTATTAACTTTGGTAAGCTGGTCATTTGAGATGACCCAAATTTGAAAGAACCGTATTTTGAGTTTTTGAAAACGTATGTGGAAGCATTTTTATACCTTTCATGAGCATGAAATGGTATTATAACTTTGGTCCGATGTTTGTAAGTACCAGAACAAAAAGAGATAGACCCATTAAAATGTATACTTATATGATCAGAACGTCGAGCTGAGTTGATTTAGCCATGTCCGTCTGTCCGTCTGTCTGTCTGTCCGTCTGTTTGTATGCAATCTAGTCTCTCAGTTTTCGCGATATCCGTATCAAATTTGGTAGGTAAGTGTATTTTTATAATGTATTAATCATTTGTCGGAACCGGAAGAATCGGACCACTATAACATATAGCTCCCATACAACTGATTGTTCAGATATGAGATTTTTCGTTATAACTTCTCCATTTATGCAGCTACGAACATGAAATTTTGCAGTACTTGCACCCATTATCAACAGAATACTTACAGTGAACATTACAAAGATCGGGTCACTATAACCTATAGCTCCCATACAACTGATTGTTCAGATATAAAATTTTTCGTTATAACTCCTCCATTTATATAGCTAGGAACATGAAATTCCGCACTGTTTTCAATAATTATCAACAGAAAACTTACAGTGAAAATTAAAAAGATCGGGTAACTATAACCTATAGCTCCCATACAACTGATTCTTCAGATATGAGATTTTTCGTTATAATTCATCCATTTATGTAGCTAGGACCATGAAATTTCGCGCTGTTTTCACTCATTATCAACAGAAGACTTACAGTGAAAATAACAAAGATCGGATCTCTATAACCTGCAGACCCCATACAACTGATTGTTCAGATATGAGGTCTTTTATCATAACTTCTCCATTTATGCAGCTAGGAACATGAAATTTCGCACTATTTTCACTCATTATTAACAGAATACTTACAGTGAAAATAACAAGGATCGGATGACTACAACATATATCTTCCATACATCTGATTGTTCAGATATGGGATTTTACTGTAAAACTTCTTTATTTGAACAGCTAAAACCGATAAATTTCGTAAGATATTTTATAAATAATAATACAAAGTCTACTGAGAAAATCATCAAAATCTAGGCTGTATAAGCTTTATCTCCTATAGCACTGATTGTTCAGATACCAGTTTTTGCCATATATCTCCTTTATGTAGGAAACTAAACCCAATAAATTGTGTTACCGGTTTACATACCGATCACATAGCAGTGAAAATCACTTAGATTGGTGCCATATAAAGTATATCTTCCATATATAAGTATGTAACTCCTCTATCGATGTATGCAGATGTATTCAAAAGCAGTAATCTGTCAAAGTAAAATTTGCAGATGTTCATGAAAGGTATGAAGCCTTCGGCATAGCCGAAGACAGCGCTGCTCTTACTTGTTTTAAATTCAGTTTGTGCCAATACAAGTCAGGATTTAGTCAGAACTTACAGGAAGTCGTTCCTATTGACATAAAGTCGGAACACTTTTGAGAGAGCAACTGAGCAACTGTTCCTAGTCAGAAGTTACAGGATTTAGTCCGGAGTTTTTTCGCCTGTAAGTTCATAAAAAGTGTCAAACAATCAGCTGCATGTGCAATAAAAACAGAAAGCGGTGAAAGTAAAGAACCTTATATTTGTAAAAAGAATGGAAGTAAACAACGAAATATTTGAATATGTGTAGATTTTAATAATCATTTAGTGATATTTCAGCCAAATCGGTGTTGTACTAATGACTTATAAACAAACCGACTGACGTTTTTTTTGCGTTCCTGTGCACTTCTACATCTGTTGTACTTTTACTCTTACTTGAGAGAGTAAAATTGTAGTTTGACAATTCCACAGGTTTTAGTCCGAAATTCAAAGGAACACACTAATTAAGTTCCAACCTGTTGCGACAACTCCAGTCAACAAGATTGTTCAAATCAAGTTGCAAATAAGTTTCAGATCATCAGCATAAAGTAAAAAACCTAGAATATTTAAAAC